TTTTTTCAATGGAGGAGAAACATACCAGCTACCCGAATGTTAAATGGTTCATCTCTAGCTACATGCAAGATATATATTGGTTTTGAGAAAAATAATGTCCATTCTAATTATGATTTGTATATCATTTCCCGTAACAGACTTGCTTTCTCAAAGTGCGCCCCCTAGAGTTAAATCTGGGAAAACTGGTGAAGGCCTCTGTGAAAAGGAAGCGGACTGTCAACTTGGATCATGGTGTTAGACACACATCGACTTGTGAATCCTGTAAAATGCTTGATGCATTCCCAGTTGAACAGAGGAGACAGTGTGCTGGTCAGTGCATTCATTAAACTCATAGTTTTTCAGTGAAATTTGTTGAAATGAAAACCCAAATGTTTATATTAACTTTTTTCGTTCATGAGTTTAGTTGAAAATATTTAAACGAGGCAATGTAGACAACTTTAAGTACTATTGTTTGATATTCTGTAATGATAAAGATATTAGGGTAAGGTTTATTGTAAGAAAAAATATTGTTTTTGCGGTATTCATTGAAAAACTGAAAAACTACAAGTTTTAAAAAGAGTTTTCAGTATTTCATTGAACTAACATCTTAAACAGTTTTGGAAACAATTATTTATAATTACTCAAAAAACCTCCAGTTATTCACATTGTCTCTTTAAAGGGGATGAGTCTTTCCATATATTTCACACAAAATGAAATTTTTTGCCTAATGAATAAACAGAAAAAGGTTTTTGATTTTAAATGAAAAAAAAATTATTTGTCATTTGAAAACAATCCATTTCAATGTCACAAAATGTCTGGTTAACTCTTTCCCAGGGCTCAGAAAAAGTTTACAATATATATCTTTATCAAGAAAATTAGAAAAATGTTCCTCTACATCCTAAATTTCAATGTCATTACTTTATATTTGCAGATTGGGTTGCCACTTTAGCGAGGAAGAATAATAAAAGAAACAGAGGCCTCATTATCGGGGTTACAGTATCATCTTTTTTTATTTTATTCAGTATTGTTATTGCCGTCATTATCTATTATCACATCACTTATAAAGAACCACCTGTTATAGCACACCCAGAAGATGTATAAGATGAGAAGTCTGAGAGATATCTGCAAAAAGTGGTTCACAAAATTGGTATACAAATGTAAATGATTAGTTTTGCTTAACAAATTGTGAAATTGTAACCTTGTTTCTTTAACAACTTGCGCTATTCTGAGAATACCATCCTTTGATTTTAGATGTCCTTACCTTATATTCGATTTTCAAAAGAAAAGTTTCCTAATCTTAAGGAATGTTTAATTTTTTCTGAAGAAAATTTGAAACGTCTGTAAAATTGTGTTTGAGCATGCTCAGAATCTCACCAAGACTTGTCTTGATCACCCATCTAGAACATCAAGGATAATCTTCCAAAAGAAATCACATGTCAATTCAGTTAATAAGATAACTTTAATGACATAAATACAACAAGTATACTTTAAATATAAAATTTACATCTTTTTTAACACAAATAAGTCTCATAAGACAATGTCACACAACGGCAGTGCTTTTAAATCTAACTATAAATACACTTCTTTTGGAAAAGAGCAACAATATATATTTTAAGAATATTGTGAGGCAGCCCATAGTACCATATTTGCTTCATTAGAAACACGTACACTCGCATAACGTTAGCATCAAATGGATAGGTGGTAGGTTACTGTAAAATACTTAAATTATTTAAGCTGGGATTAATTTTCACTGAAAAGACTTTTTGGGTGTATGGAATTCATTTTCACCATAGAATAAAGGTATATTAGCTGGATTTTCACTGAATCATTCTTTCAGTGTAAATAGCATGAAGTATTCACACAAACATTTATAACTGATCCATGCCTCTAAATGCAGCAAATACAGCACATATTAAACACAGACTACCGTACGAGTCAAACTTGTGATATCCTCAAAATAACTTCAAATTATTGAACAGTTGTTTTTTTAATAAATGCATCACATACTGTAAAATACCATTTTAGCTGCATTTAATTTATGCCGTTTTGTATTAATTTATTTATAGTTGAATGAAAATAATGTACTTTATAGTATTCAAAAGGGGTCCAAGACAAAAAAACAGTGCTTCCTTCCCAAATGGGAGTAGACAAAATAACCAATTTTAAGACCAAATTTGATTAAATTGCTTTAGCCTAGTGAAATAATATGGAGGAAATCTGTATTTTCAAAGGCGACCATGGTGAACTCTTGGAGATCGATGCAATTGCCTTTGATACTTCTTTGGGATAACAGCAAGTCTCAAAAGTATTTGGGCAGCCAATTTGCAAACTCACTAGCGAATTGGCTAACTGCTTTGGTTTTGACTGAATGGTTGTCAAATCTAACTGGCGCCTTCTTGTGGTCACGCCCACTCAGGATCAATCTATTTAACAGTAGGGGACAGTTGTCATACTTCAGGAGCTAATCAGCGATGATCTAGCAGTTGGATGGCGATTTTGTTTTCAAATATACCAGTGTACTAGGTTCTGATAATGAGGTGTTCGTATACAAGGGGT